CAAAAATAAACATACATACACACACTCTTACATTTCTAGCTAACTGTATTTCATGTCAAAATGATTTTTTTTTGCTCAGTCGTTTTGTGTTTTGTAGACTGGTATGTCTTTTCGTTATTTTACATTTTGTGCCATGGCGTTGTCAGTTTTTCTTCAACTTATGAGTATGAACATCAGTTTGTCTTAGACTTATGAGTATGAACATCAGTTTGTCTTAGACTTATGAGTATGAACATCAGTTTGTCTTAGACTTATGAGTATGAACATCAGTTTGTCTTAGACTTACGAGTATGAACATCAGTTTGTCTTAGACTTATGAGTATGAACATCAGTTTGTCTTAGACTTACGAGTATGAACATCCTTTTGGTATCTTCAGCCTCTCTTAATAAAAAATGTATCTTGTTGAGATTTTTTATTTGGGGAAAATATTATTTGGATCTCGAGATTTTGCTATAGAACCTTTTTCACGTTGTTTCTTTAGTTATATCGTTTATGCTTAAGCACTGAAATGAATTTGTTCATTAGAGCTATTTTCCTAGCACTTGTAATTTAAAGGTTTGGTTGGCTTGCTTGCTTTGTTTGTATAAATGTTTGCTCAAGCATTGTAATTAAGATTGACATCTGCAATCAATAGATAGGCGGGGCTTCAGCTTTTATAATGTTATTGGATGATAAGTATAATGTAGACTATAATGCATGCAAGCTGAAGCCCCTGCCTATTTATTGGTTGCAGATGTCAATCTTAATTACAAAAATTGAGCAATCATTTCTACAAGCCAAGCAAGCAAGCCAACAAAACCTTTAAACTACAAGCATTAGGAAAATAGCTCTAATAGATGGCTAAATTTACATGACAGGTAGCTCCAGCCTATTGTAAACAATATGTTGGCAATGTTTTTCTTTTTACAGAAAAATCAATTTTAATAATGTAAAACATCTGTAAACGTAAGAAATAGGGGGTGGGGTATCAACTCCCTGTCAGAATAGACAGGTATCTTAGCAAACTATATCAAATGCAAGCAACAACCCCTTTCAAAAATGCTAACGCGCAGAAAGAACAACAAATGGGACTTTTTATCTTGATTGCCATAGACATAAATATTTTAAATGGCTGAGCAAAAATGTATACTGATTGCGCCATTGTAGACTTTCCTATCCGGCTTTTCTAGTTCTCAGTCCTGTCTGGCACGTGCATGACCTAAAAGTATACTAATCCAGAATATCCCAGTTGTTCTGATTACGCCTTCTTTTAAATTTGTAATTGTGGACTTAAGACGTTAGATGCTATAACATGTTCAGCTTACTTTAAAGTGTCTGTATGCTTATTCAATTCCATCATTTAAGACCGTGTATTAAAACCATCTCTCCCTAATGTAAACGAACGCCTTCAGATAAGATGACCTGGTATCAACCTAAGGTTATTTATTATTCTTCGGTTTGATATAATTTTGAGAATATCATAATTATCAAAACATGGAGTATACTATTCCGACATTATGATATGTCAGCGTAGGGTATGCATGGATGTCTGTATATAAGTATGAATAAGTCAAATTACCGAAATCATATGTCGAATTCTTATAGTAGTTATTGCCCTTCAATGGCGATGTTTACCTTGTGAGTGTATTGACTGTTATCTTAAAAACACCAGATAGACAAGACAAATTAATTGACAACGTGTCCGAAATCAGAGCCAATGAATGATTTTCTTGATAGACAGAGGGTTTCGGTTTTATTTTTTAATTAATGAAAGATTTCAATATAACTAAAGAATAGATCATTACAGAATGATGTTTGCTTAGCTAAAGTCAAAAAATAGTCACTGCATGTGTGTATGCTTGCAATACAACAGTGTATACAAAACCTTTATGTGATCCGCCGGTCTGGATAGGGTTTAAAGATAGAGAACAATGGGCAAAAACTCAAAATAAAGGGCAAAAAAAAAAAGAATAGAGAAAAAAAGGCAAAAATAATAAAGAATGGAAAATAATGGGGTGCTAAAATATAAAAAAATAGAGAATGGGATCCTAAATATAAAGAATAGAGAATAGTGGGGTGCTAAAATATAAAGAATAGAGAAAAATGGTAAAATAAATAAAGAAGTAGAGAAAAATGGTCTAAAAAATTAAAGAAATAAAGAACCTCCCTATTCAGACCCTCACATCATAAATTCTGACATACAATCATATATTCTTTTCATTCTGTGATATATATTTTGTAAAAGGCCGTATCCTACTATACAAGTTGTAAGCATTAAAAGCAATTAGTCCACAGAAGCAGGGACTGTTTTTTTTTTAATAAGTTAACGGACTGACGAAGACGACAATTACAAACACAAAGTGATAGCAATCTCATTAGACTTGAAACTAAAATTATTTACCAATGAAACCTCTGACAAAACACTTTCCTGTAAATTACTGCTTTTGGGGGGACATTTCTCCGTGTAAACATATTTGTCTATTTTTTTAACTGCTTTGGGGTTGCCTATCTCTATCTGTATAAGGAATTCCCTCTTTCAGGTGAGCACTTCTTTGAGAATTAATTAAAAGTTCAAGTCTTTATTTACAAGACTATATTTACACGAACTATGGTGTAAAATAAAAAGAATACCCTCCATGGTGTGCATGTTGTCTACAGTGATTGACCGTTTCGTTTGCCGGACGGTGAGTTCTTTAGTAGTTCATTTCTTTAGACATGTACAGCGTATAGCCGAGTTTCCAGTACAGCGTATAGCAGAGTTTCCAGTACAGCGAATAGCAGAGTTTCTAGTACAGCGTATAGCAGAGTTTCCAGGTTATATACTCTACTTAAAAACAATTGTCTGTACATTTGCATCTACTGTTACAAGCACATAGTAATCTACTTTGATCTAAAATAAGCTGTTTATTTATTATTACAGGGCGGATCCAGCCAACCCAGGACAAAGGAGGGGTTCCAACCATATGTCCCCATTCAAAAGTATTGATCGTAAAAAAAATGGGGTTCCAACAACCATCCCCCCCCCCCCCCCCCCCACTGGGTTAAACTAAGAAAGCATTTATCCTAGAGTTTATAGATGTGGAGAAAGCTGCCTAATTCATGCGGGTATGGTATACGAGTATCGAACAATGTTTTACAAGCTAGCAAGAAAATGTTCAACAGTTTTTTTACTTTTCATTGCAGAGTAGACAAGTTGGATCTATTGCATTTTGGTTGAATGCAGCCTTGTTTCATTAATAAATAACTTTTTTCAAAGGTTTTTCTTTGCAGTATTAAAGTATGATTGCCAATGAGACAACTCTCCAACAGAGTTTAAATGATGTGGATATAAGTAATTATAGGTCACCGTACGGCCTTCAACAAAGAGAATACCGTATAGTCAGCTATAAAAGTCCTCGACACGGAAGATGTAAACAATTCAATCGAGAACACTAACGGCCTAATTTATAGTGATACAATTTTCGAAAAACAGATATGACAGACCTGAATCAACGAAAACCACTGAATAACAAGCTCCTGACTTGGGACAATACAGCAAATACAGAATGTGGTGTTTTATACTGATTTGTTCTGCATAAGATCGTGTCTTTCTATACTATTGGTGGTGTTGTTAAATGACCATGCGGTATGGGTTTTACTCGTTGTTGAAAGCCGTACGGTTACCTATAGTTGTTACATTCTGTGTCATTTGGTCTCTTGTATACAGTTGTCTCATTGGCAATCATACCACATCTTCTTATTTTTATATTAAATGACTGTAGCCTTGCACAAGGTTTAGGTTTGTGTGTGTTTTGTTATTGCTTTTTGTCTTTTGTTCGTTTTTCTTTTGACCACTGTGTTGTCTGTTTTTAATGGACCGTTTTGGTTTTTGGTGCCCCTCTTCACAGAGTTCAGATACCCAAAACTCTTGAATACTTTCAAATAAATTCAGTCTATATCCGCATCTTTTCTGTAAATATAAAAATAAGAAGATGTGGTATGATAGCCAATGAGACAACTCTCCACAAGAGACAAAATGACATACAAAATTAACAACTATAGGTCACCGTACGACCTTCAACAATGAGTAAAACCCATACCGCATTGTCAGCTATAAAAGGTCCCGAAATGACAAATGTAAAACAATTCAAACGAGAAAACTAACGAGTATGTTTCTCGGAAAAACATATAGTCGACGGTATTGCATATCGTTCCTTCTATTGTAATGTAAATAGTAATAAAAAAAAAGTACTCATCAGTTCATTTAAAACGTTTTTTTCTCCTGACGATTTTCAATACTTATTCGTTTTTCACAAATGCTGCCGAGTTCAATTTAATGTTGTTATGCCACTTTATGAAACCTGTTAGGAATGTTGTATATTGTATGTATAATTTTTTTTCTCCGTCAGAAATCAAGTCCTTAACTAGCTTCGAATTTCCATAGTAGCGAAAATATTTTTACCCAGCTTTCCAAATTATGAACCGCCTTATTTCCTTGTTTAAGCTTGTCGTCATCATGTTGGTGGCTGAACTATACAGATATTTCTTTTTATGCTATTTTGACCATTTTCTGTTCGTTGGTGTTTGTCTTTGGGAAGGATTTGGATGTTGGGGGTTGATATGTTCTGTTTTTATACTGTCCAATCGTGTTGTCCTTTGTGTATACTATTTTCTGAACTACATATCCAACGTTGGAGTATTGGACAGATTTCATATAAATAGTTTAAGTACTTTCAGCTTGCTTTGAGTACCGGCAAGCTTTGGGATTCTTTATTTTTTTTATTTTTTGTTTCGTTCAGTTCATATCTCATTGACGGATATCCTTCTTTTTCTTTTATTCATAAAAAAGAGAAAAAAAACCAAATGCAGCCTAAGATTTGTTGGGTACAAGCATGGACATCGACAATGAAATAAAAATAAGATATAATTTAAAGGATATTGCTTTAAAAGCGCCATTTAACTAAGAACAAAGACTGGTAAGCAGTAAGTGTATTCTTCTAGTTTTACAAGTTAGTAACTTAAAGGACAAGAAGCGGCTGAATCTGGTAAATATGTACCTAATTTTATTGTTTCCTCTAATTTTTAAGTTGTACCCCAACAAATAAATATATTAGTATTCACGATGATCACAGAAAAACTGAACATGAACTGAATCATTCTTAAATTCTGGAATGGATGCTTTGCTTTTTATATTCCATGACATGTCCACAGCTGATCCATAATTCTTCCCAAAGCCGTACGGTGCTTGATTTGTGACCCGGATGGATCCCGCACATTCATGGAAAGCTGATGTATCACCTTCCTCATTTCGACAGAAAGCTTTACACTTTCTTCCACAAGAATCGTATGCTGAAATAAGAACCTCTGAATATTCTTTCTCCGGATTTCGCAATGCAATATAAGTCATGGATTCCATAAAGGCTTGTCGAAGGTCAACGATAACGTATTCGTCGTATGTACCACGGTAGTTAAGACCATCCGAACGGATATGAATACGACCTACAGATTTGCCAATTCCTTTCGACTGTATACATCGTTTTGATTGTGGCATTACCTCATCTTCAAAGTAAGAACTGATCTCTGGATACGACTCTGGACTATATATATCAAACTCCCTTGCAGGAACACCATCATATATCGGAAAAGCACGGAAATTTTTACTTTCAGGTGATCGTTTACTTACTATCTTGATTGGAATAAAGACCCATTTCCTAGTATCGGATTTTCCATCAATTGCAAATGTATTCTGGCTTGAATCTGAAGGAGCATGACATTCATTATCACTACTAAATGGACTTTTTAGTTGTGAGGTATGATTTACTTTCAATTGACGCTTGGCTTTCATTTTTTCAATTTTTTCCACAGCTCGTTTCTTTCTACCTACAAAAGCATTTGGCATGAAACCTGGAAGCATGGGTCCACCAACCCCACCAAATCCGCCAGGTGCCATTGGTCCTGCAGGTGGTGCATTCTGTTGTCCTCCACCAAATGTTATTGGAATACACGTTGGAGTGCCACTGGATATATCACACGTCAAATAGTTGGATCCACAATTTGCATTATTAAAAGAACACGAGGGATTAGGCTCATAAGTGTAAACCTCTGACGTAAACATATCGCTTAAACCAAAAGAATTGACTAAGTTGCCGAATCCAGTACTAGTCATTGGCCCATGCGATTCGGCGCCATAATTAGTTGGATAATCTTGAGTAGGGTTGATACCCCTCCGTCTCTGATTACCTCTGAATATTTCCCACACATAATCAACAAATGCATGATGCATGTAGAAAATAGGATCAAAAGCTGATGTTTCCATTGGTTCCATTTGACCTCCTATCCATGTATGTACATCCCCATGTATATTCTCAAGATTGAATTGGTTCGAAGCACCGGGTTCCAAAATTTCTGAAATTCTAGTTCTTGTCAAAATACTTCGAATTTCGTCTTTTGAGAACAGACTTCCACCAGGGTTGCCAACATTTCTTATCAATGGACCTGATGGTGTTTGCCAGTAGGCAAAAGGACCACTAGTTACCAAACCATTGCCATTCCCAAGAAAAGATGGTGAAAACATGATCGTTCGAGTCTCGTCTACCATAGCTTCATCCATCGTTGAATCGAAATAAGGGAGCGTTACACCTGGCACTTTCTGTCGAAGGGCATTTTCAAATCTGCAAAATAAACATAACTTGTGACAAGAATATTCGAACTGTTCATCCCGTTATTTAGAAGACATGTTATACAGATAGCAATTGATATCTTCCACTTGTAGCTACAATAACCTGGACAGCATAAATTCAATCTGATTAAAATACAAATCTGTGTCCACGCTTTACTTACCTTGTAAGCCAGATTTCTCGGGAAAAAATGGTCCGAAGGTTTTGATCACCAAAAGTTCGAATTCGCAAAGGACCTACATAATTTTGGTATTTTGCAATAGAAATAATAATGAGGACCAGCAGATTTTCTTTAAGGACCACCATGGAAAAAAGATTTCGAAAACTCTTGAATAAGCGAAGTGTTGACACAGGACCTTTATAGATTGACACACTATTTTCTTTTAAAGACAGTATGTGAAAATTCATAGTTCCCTCGGCAATGAGTGGACTGGTATGCTCAAGAACTTAGTTGTTGCCAATTGGTATTTTTCATGAAAACGGCTAGGACTATTTGGAACACTCTGATTACCACTTCATTTTAACTTTGGTGAATTGTTGTCTCATTGGCAATCGTACCACATCTCCTCGTTTTTATATTAGTACAAAGAATGAGCTTTAGATGCGATAATATGTTTATATATTCCCCAATTTTTTTTATGAATATGCAGCCAAGATTAACTGTTAAACATCTTTAATATATCAGTTAAACTAGCTTTATTTTTTTAAATATTTTTGTTCAATTCACGATATAGACATTTGCAATTGCATGTATATTTAAAAAATACAAGTAACACATTAAAGATAATTTGAAAAAAAAAAATATGATTTATAAATCAAAATATAAATTTGGATTTGAAACTAAGTCTAGGTATTTATACCATTTGTATATTGTTTTCGACTAATAATAGAAGGAAAAGGCGAAGCTCTCAAAGTATTGTCCAAATTCCCCATATCATTATCGTAAGGTGAAGGGGTTGTGACGGAGAGGAAATGGTAAATAATTTCTTTACTTTGTGCTCATTATACTTTTTTTTATTTGAGCTGAACTTTGGTACTTACATTGTGATGAAAATTCTATGCCATGCTAAAAAGGCACCGCCATGATGTATGTTGTCAACCATTCGGAAATGAATCAGACCTAATGCATCGTATCTATTAGGTGGAACACTCTGTAAAGATAACGATACATTACATGTTAAGCTCCGTAGAAAGGAACGCATATTGTAAACTAAGAAATCCCCGATTGTTCTCGTGACCATTATTACAGAATCAATATCTTTATGTAAAAATGAATTTTTTGCAATTACGTAATCCATAAATGTTTTGAATCAAACAAAGTAAATCTCAGTAAAATTTTATCTCTTTAAAATCTGACAAATGTCATATCTTTTAATGATGTAACTGCCAAATTTCTCAATATCAAGATGTCGTTATGCATGTACAAGAGTACTGACTGCAGGATAATGATATGACCTTGGGAACTTACAGTCAGTTAGCAGTGACATCTTCCTAGTGATAGTAAACAACATTACTAGATACTGGTGTTAATTTGTTACACAGATGAGCATTTTAAAGATATATTTCTCATCAGTAGTTCTTGATATTGGAAATTCCTAAAAATGCCAAAAAACGTACAAAACCATTTATTGTATGTGAAAGGATCTTCAAACAATGATAAAGATATGTGTCACATTCATACGACATTTTAATATGTATGCGGGTTTGGAATGAAAAAAAATCATTCTGGCTTACCAGAAAAAATTACATGCAATACAAAATCAATTATTTACTAATTAAATGAATGTCGTACCGTATCGGCTTTCATCATTAGAATCGCCCTGTGGTATCTTGCACGCTCCTGGTCTGTGAGACGTCTATACTCTTTTCGTACTCGTAGCTGTCTTCTAGGTGGCATAATTGGCTGTTGTTGGACCTGTGGTCTTACTATCTGTGGTTGTCGGACTTGGTTTGCAGCAAATTGAGCAGGTGCTTGGGCTGATTGAAAATTTTGAATTGCAGGATTTTGAACAGATTGTAGATTTTGAATTGCAGAATTTTGAACCGCTTGTAGATTTTGAATTGCAGGACTTTGGACTGTCTGTAGATTTTGAACTGCGGGACCCTGGACCGATTGTAGATTTTGAACTGCGGGACTCTGAGCCGATTGTAGATTTTGAACTGCTGGAATCTGTTGTTGTTGGAAGGGAATCTGTGGTCCTTGAGCTGGAATCTGTACGTTCTGAAATTGGTTCTGTGGTCCTTGTGCTGTCTGTGTGTTTTGTGGCACCTGTGCTTGTATTTGAGGGTTTTGAATATTTTGATTGTTTTGTACTGGTAATTGTGGATTCTGCTGAACAGAGGCTGGTTGTACTATCGTCTGCTGACCTTGTGAGTCACTCTCGGATTGCTGCGCATTATTTTGTTGCTGAGCTTGATTTTCTGTATTAAAACTTATTGGATACAATGGAGTACCAAATTGACTTGGAAAAACAAACCGTAAATATGGCGGGATAGGAATAGTATCATTTGTCTGTGTAGCTTGTCGTTTTGCTCTTTCGTGTATATCTACTTCCGACATGCGAAGAAGTTCATTAATCCAGTTAACAGTCTCTACTGATATATTTAAATGCTGGCCTTCAAGTTTAGCTGTTTGCTTATTTCGATTGCTACTTATACAGAAATTATTTAGTGATTCATAAGATGTGTGTGTTGGATTATTTTTTGACAATCTTTCTTTTAAACATGCTGAAAATTCATCGGGTGGCTTGATTTCCTCTACCAGAGCACAACTTAGACTGATTAATGATAAAATGTATCCAATGACCAGAAATCCTTTAATCATCTGAAATATAATACAAAATAGATTGAATTTTGGTATAAATACTTTTAACGATGTCCCTACAACACGACGTTACACCAAAAAATGCGACGTCAAAGAATGTTTTCTGAAATTTTGACGTCGATTAATTAAATTAAGTTTCATTCGGTTTTTTATGTTTATTTTTGGGATGTCTTTTTTCCATGAATTACCTCAATTTGTGGAGATGTACATTTTAAAATTTAGTAATCTTCTCCTGGATCGTCCGTAAAAACGGCTAATATAATCCCGGGTTGTATTATTTAAATGAAATAGTTTTCGTCGCTGTTTGCGATTAGTCTTTCGGTTACTTAGTACCTCCGTTTCATGTTCAAGTTTATTGACGAAAAGGTCCGGCTTCGATAGTACAGGGATTAGTTTCAGTACGACAGTTATAACATGGGTAGCAGGACAAGTCGCTAACTAAAACATTTCGAGGACTTTTACTTTTAATTTGGTGAATGCACCTTACTGAAGGGACGACTTTAAATGATCTATATCTATTTCGCGGCATTTCAACAACATAACGAAAAAATCGCCTTTTACATATAGACGACTGTCTTGGTGTCTCTAAATTTTCATTGACATTCTGAATCAAACATTTGCCTCTTTCAAGAATAAATCGCTAAAAGCTAAAAATGATTTATAAAAATAGCAAAATTTATTCTGTGTCGAATCTATGTTCCGAGTCTGTCAACATGCACCATTATTTTTTTCGACAGCCTTCAATATCTTTTTCCAAATTTCACCACACGATTTGTTTTAATTATCAGGAACATTGAATTGAAACAAATTTAGCACATGTACTACAACGTCAGAAATAAGCGTTTTTAGGATTTTTCGACGTTTTCAGACGTTGGGACAAAATGACTACCGTTTTGTAATGTTTCGTAGCATTTTATTCCTTTGAGACCCAAACATGTAGTTAATAAAAAAAGAATCTAGACATTTTGTACTTTTCGTGTATCTAATTTTGTTTTGATAAATTATAAATTACTTATTGAAATATCAGGTAAAAAAACCGCATTAATTGCTTTGACAAATGAAATATTAACTTGGACAAAATGACTACCGCTTGAAAAACGTCTGTAAAGAGAAGATTTTATAGAATCTACTTTTTTTGAACTCACGAACAATGAGGCAAATATTTGTACTTTCGGTAGATATTAATATTATCTTACTTTTTTTAAGGCACTTTCTGCTATATCTACTTATAAAAATCACTCTCAGACGTTGAGTCAACGAAACACGTCGTTGGACATTTTTCTTTTTCCAGCTTAATATGCAGTCGCCGAGTCAAATGAAATTTGAGAAAATAACAGCTTCAATGTCACAAAAACCGACACATGTCGTTGTTCCCGTCAAGTTTCAGGAAGATCAGAGAATAAGAAATAGGGGCACTTTACATAAGAGTTAAAACAGTTGTTCAAAAATGTAACGTTGGACATCCGTTTATTTCACGTAGCTTTGTTGTTTTAATCCTCAAATATTCTAGATATTACTAAGCATATGACCAAGAGCTATAAGAACATAATTAAAAACATATACTGAATTTATTTTCTAGTGGTAAGTGTTTGCAAACATTTTTTTTTTGTTTTGCAGAGGAAATTTCGAAGATCCTCTTTTAAATTCTAGGGGTTGTAGGAACAGCGTGCGCAACGTTTTTGCACTATTTTTAAGAATACATTTGTTCAGTAAGCTTTGAATTACACTTCATTTTGTGAAAACCATTATTCTCGACAACGAAGAATTATTATTTCAGACTAACAAAATCGCAAAAACAATTATGTATTTATTTATTTATTTTTCAGTTAAATTTATAGAAATTTTCATAAATAAGATGATTTTTTTAAAACTGTACAAATAAGTTGATATTTTTGAAATCGTTGGTCTAGTCAACTCTCTCTATGAGTTGATGCCCGTAAATGATAATTTTTGCATTTTTTTTTTGCGTCTTTGTCGATTATCTTGAAAACTATAAAAGGTAGATAGAAATTTTAAAAGCAAAACTGATCAGCAAGACAAGATCTGCAAAAAGGTCAGCATATATGTAGATGAATTTGTCATTTGTCTTCTTATATAGGAGCTATTACCCTTAAATGACGATTTTTATCCTATTTGTGTTTTGGAAAAAAAATATAGAAGATAGATAGAAACTGTAAACAGATGAAAATTATCAACAGTACAAGTTCAACAAAAAAGACATTTTAGTCATGAATAACATACTTATCTATAATGTTGGAGAGTGTCCATTGTTGAAGATGCACATAGATCTAGGTGGGCGACACTGGCTCTTTAGAGCCTCTAGTTATTGTTAGTAACGGTGTCAGCCATTATCTTTACGTGAATGTTATTACTGTATTATTTTCAAAAAGTTTTATCAGATATTCGCACCTAATAGGATATTTCCGTATTTTTAATTGTTTTTTTTTTCCTTCAAAACTGTACATACTAGAATGATTGTGGGCAAGTTTGGTTTTCTGTTATTTGTTTCTAGGTGAGAACTTTTTTTAAAAAGCCAACAGACATTGAACGTCAAGTGTGGTCAATAACTCTCACTAAGATTTAAGCCAGATCAGCTGTGAAATAATAATAATAAAAAATATATCACATCTTTTTTATTCAATGAATTTCATGTATTTCGAATTGACATGGAAACACACGTGTAGTGAATTCAAATCTGAAATATGACATGTTGTGATATTAATATAAGTAAATACCTTCCGTTTTAATGAAATAATAATCAAATGCAAATATATATACCAAACATATAATTCCGTAATACGGTAATTTTTGTTGCAACTCAGCTTTTCACGTGACAAGATCTTACATCGTCTAATACGTTTGATAAGAAATATGATACCGATGGCAACTAATCTGACACCTTATATGTGATACTTCCCGTTTTGGTGTAGACATATTAAATAACTTAATATCATTTCCAAATTAATGTTACAACTGCGCATTTAAAACGTTTACAACTTTCCATAGGCTATCTGGTTACAAATGTGTATAAAGTGATATTTCAAGTCTTTCAGACTGAAACCTATACACCGACTGATTTATAAATAGAAATCAATACTTTTTTTTACTATACTTAGAAAACTAATAAAAGCAAAATTGTATCCATAAAGCCAGACACATTTTATCCATGAAGATACAGCTAAAAACAAAGTTACCGGCCCGGCTTGAAGGAATAACTCCTGCATAAGATAGGTTCCTATACATACGTTTAAATATATTGTAAAGTGAACTACTTTCTTCCAAAAATTATAAAAAATTCCGTCGTGAGATTGAACAGTTTTGTTATTTCATTGAGGTTTGTCATCTTGGTAAAACCTTTAGGAAGTTAGTCAGGTAAACTTGGAAATAAAGAACGTTCCTACGAACGGATGATTTAAATCACGTAAATGTATTTAACATGATTCTAGACTATACAAGTTTGAGCTTTCTAAAAAGCTGTGGACTGCTTCGCTCTATCCTAATTTAAGGTAATATGTGTGCATGTGGTTCTTGATTTAGTATTGGAAATGTGGTATTTTTAGATATTGATTGATATTAAATGGATGTCTTAGACTTGGAATGTCAATTTTTGTATATATATTAAGATGAACTTTTCCAAAATTTTAAACTGGCTGTTCAGTGTTTAGATGCGTTATACACCCATGCTTTTAAAATTTTGTTCACTTTACTTGTTGAAAATTAAAACATTTACAAATAGACACGACTCTGGAGGTGTGCCTCGATTGACAGAAGTTATACAGATAATGCATTTTTGCAAACATTGTATAGGAACATTGTTTAGCAAAACAAATCGTGCATATTGCAGATTAACAAAGCAAATAAACACGTACTAATAATTGATATATTTCAATATCAAATTTCAGTGTGCAATATATGCATAATAAAACGAACATGAATTAATGGCAGTTGATCGGAACTTAAAAATACACATAGTTAATTTCCGGCATTTGATGTCTTATCCTGACACGGGAAAAGTCTGTAATTCTTTATCTCATTTAAGCCAATAGCTGTTGCTGTATCTCAGCTGCATCATGAAGCAACCAATCAGAATCTATATGTGATAAGTAATTATTTCAAGATGGCGTGTATATCGACTGAAACTAATAGCTCCGCACCGTGATGCGAAGCAAAAATTAATGTAACAGTTATAAATCGCAGTAGAAATATAAGCAGATCTTTTGAACTTATACATTATTTTAATCGAATCAGGTCAAATGACGATGGTCATATAGAGACCATTTTACAGTCTTGATAACCACGTACATGTATTTAAAAGGTTACGGATGGGGTATTTAATTGAACAACAAAAAACAAACAAAGTTCCCAATGTCTACGTCACTCGGTCTCTGGTAGGAAGTTGTCCTTCTTATTTTCATACACGCACGAAAGAACATGCAACAGTTAAGTCTTCTTTTCAGTTACCTAAAATTCAACAGATTCAATGTTTTACTTTATATACCATACATTATGTTTCCAATCCAAAAAAGTAAGATTTTTTATTTATTATGTATAAAAAGAGGGTTTTCTTAATTTTTTTTTATCCAAATTGCGACGAAGTTGAAGTTAGCTTATATTTATTTGATATGATGAACGTCGTCCGGACATCAACGTTTCAATTTCCAGACAAAATCTTCTGAACCATAAGAAATATACTTGGAAATGTCAAGGTCATAGAAGCGATTGATAAACTGACATTTGTGGTTTCCGAATGTTATCTTTGAACCATATGTCCAACATTCACCAATATTGTATTTGGGAGAGCACCATAGGATGCAAAATATTCCTATTGGTTTTAAGGTCAATAGATCATAGGTAAAGGTCCATCATCTATTGATAAACTGGAATTTTGTCAACATTTTGGTTTCAAGACGTTATCTTTTGAACCATGTTTCAAGAGTTCTTACTAACCTGATTTGATGATGCCCCATGAGATTTCTGGTTATTTTGAGGTCACTATACAA